TTTTTAAAAATCGTTTTAACAAGAAAAAATGTTGTGGATTTTTGTAATTTTTAGTGAGTTTTGTTAGCAGTTAATGTTCAAATAACATAAATTACTTCTTTTTAATCATGCTCTATTTTTTTATTTATTAGTAAAAGATATGTAAAATACATTTTTTATTACATTTTTATGACTATTTTTCCAGAATTGGCTAAAATTTTTTCATTTATTTACTATGAAAAGACTGCGAAAGCGTGAAATTTGCAAACACATATTTATATAAGTAGCTCAAAAAAAAAAAAAAAAAAAAGGCATAATATTTGGAAAATTATATCAGTGATAAAAATATTCAGAAAAAATGTCAAGGTTCAGCAATTATTTTTTTGGATTACGATAAAACAAAAATGTAATATTGTCGAATAACTGTATTCCATAAATATTTTTTTTATAATTCTTCAATAGATTTTTGATATTATTTAGAAAACTGTGGAGAGATTTGTAAGTTTACTCCCTCTCTAAAGTACCAACTAGAAACTGTAATCTCCACTTTTCTTTTTTCTATGATTGGGATGATGCACTTTCTGGTAGAAATCGTGAAGACAAATAAATTAAAAAAAATATATATATATATATTATGGAAAATCTAATACATTCTTCATTTCACTTAAGAAGTTATACAAATAATAAAAATCATTGACATATTTTTTTCGTAGACAAAGATATAATTTGTTTTACGAAAATACAAAGATTAGTTTTTTTTTTTTTTTGAAAAGTATTATTTTTGGATTAAATTTTATTTTTTCCGAGTATTTTTCATAGTGTGGGATAAATAAAGATTTTAGAAAGTATATAGATCTCGAAGCATCTTTATGAAATGTATTCCGTCTCAGGGAAATTATGTTTGGCTGGAGACTTTCTATTTGATTTTTGCAAAAATGCATGAAAAAAACAGACATAACCTATCTTTTTGACCTATGAAAATGCTTATAAAATGTTTAATATAATTTACTTAATACAATAAAGAAATACATTTCAAATAATTACTTAATCTGAGTACACAAGTTAAAATGATAAGTTCATTCAATTACAGGAATAAATTTTATTTTTTCAACTGTATACGTTTGAGATGTTTTAGTTATTCTGGCAATATTTTTATTCACGATACGATAAAATTGTATGTATTATCTTAATTTAAAAGTCTAGATGATTCTTCTATGATCTGTACATATCTGCAATTTATTTATTTGAACCATATAAATCTGTTTATTTATGGACACGAGTAGTTAATAAAACAGCATTTAAATAAAATTTTCTAAAAATGTTTCAAAAAGTTGATTTGTTAAAATTTTTGAGACAAACTTTTATAAAGTGTTATAACTTTGTCTTTTTATAATTTTTCATTTATGTAAACTCTGTTATGTGTTTGATTATAAAAATAATATCTTTTTTTCCAAATAAATATTACTTATTTTTGTATTTATTAAATGAGTATTTTAGTAAATAAAATCAAATTGTGTAAAATAAAATTAGCTTTTAAAATTAAACTCTCAGTAATTTAGAACTCTTGATAATTTTCCATAATACATTCATAATCAATTCTTTTTATACAAAAATGTAGTAAAGTGTTAATAGTGAAATTATATGAAATTAAGTTTCAAAATCTTTAAGAATTTCATTCTTGAATTAAACTAATTTTTTTTTTCGTATTTGTTGTGTATGTATTTATTGTAATTTTTATTTATTTTACACTAAATTATATAGGTACGTTCAATGCACAAAATCATATATTTGGTAATAGGTACGTCAATCACACTGAAGTTATAAAAAATGATACCAACATACTATATATTGATATTTCAAGGATAACAAGCCTTAATATCTAATCGATTGAAAAGCAAATTCGAAAAAAAAATAATCAGTCAAGTAAGAAATAATAGTTAAATTACTTATAAATTTTATTTCATATACCTATTTGATACAGTAACAATAATCTCACTGTGATAACTCGAATCTAGAATTTTAATGAAATACTTATAATTTATTATGATACCCCATCAAAGCCCAATGTTTTAGATTTCTGTGAAAAAAGTAGTTCCATATAGATTCTTATGGATTTCTGCTAAATATTTGGCTTCAATAGTTCTGAAAAATGTATTTGAAAAAATAATTCAATTGTCTGAATTCAATAAATTGATCCTTCTATAATCAATCAGAATCATAATTGTTTCAATATTTTACAAATAAGATAAGAAAATAAATCACTTCGTAATATCAGAGCGTGCAAAAAACTGATTCAACAATATATGTAAAAACAATCAATGTACAATTTTAAAAATTTATATAATTCTGTTTTTAGTTATTTAAAAAACATCAAAAACAAGTATGTTTACAAATTCTTTGAGTTTTTCATGTCATTTCAATGAACAAAGGCTATTTCATTCAATCGTTTTTTTAATATTCTCGACTTCATCCATGGCTTTTGATTTGCTGATTCACCATTGATCAAAAATTCTGTTCAGATGTTGCACCTATATAAATATTTTCTAACAATGTATAAATTTCAGAAAAAAAAATCTAGGTTACATCAAGCCCTTGCTATAAATTTACCCTGAATGTTTTTTCCCAGTGTGAAACGTATATTTACGCTGAGATACTGATCTATCATATCTTCTAAATACTCTAAAACAGGGTAGTCCAACCTTTTTTAGTTGGTGGGCCAATTTACACTCTCATAAAAACATTGAGGGCCGCAAAAAATAATAATCATAGTATAATTTTCCTGTAAAACCCTCAGTCAACTTCCACGATCTCCGCCAAAAGAATTTTGATTCGCTGCGGCTTGATTGAAGTTTACTAATATTTTAGTCTAAAATATTAGTGAAAATAAATCAAAAAATTGATTATATTTTGTACAATTAATTTCCTATATAAGTGTATTTTTGTTCCTTACATACTTTATATTTTTTAATTATTTTTTTTTCTTATTATTTAATATTATACAAAAAAAAAGGCTATATATTAGTTACGGACATGAGTTTCATTATCAAATTACTAATTGCGGACATCAATTGAATAAAAATCACGTGAATTAGGAACAAAAATATTTCCAAGATTTAGGACAAGCTACAAAAAAAAAAAAATAAATAAAAAAATGGTAAGTGGATTAAAAAATATTTATACCTTGCTAAAGAAAAATTGTTATTCTTAAATTATTTTTTTTTTTTATAAAATATAATAATTGACGTGTAATACAATAATACGACTCATAACGCATTGTGTCCCATCATACCAAACTTTACATTGCTTATATGCTTTTCCGGTAACGATAAACGACCAAACAAGAGGGAGTGAGAAAGTCGTGTTCACATATATTTAAATGATATGGCAACGGATATCGTAAACATTGGTTAAATACTTCTTTACAATCTGAACGCGTCATTATTGAAATATGTTAACACACACAAAGCACTATTATTGTTATTATTATTATTATTATAAGTATTTTTTATCGAATTGTTTAGTACGCAGAGAGAATAGGTGTAGAAAAATATGATTTTATGCACTACGGTAGCAATCGAACATTATGAGCGTTATGATACACGTTTGAAATGCTCATGACCTGAACGTATAGTAATGTGATAAAATATGGCATTTATCATGTTTTTAATGGGTTTCATATGGTAGGAGTATTTTTTTTGCAAATAAATAGGTATGCATGTGTCGCGTTTGTGTGCATTTAATAGGTATCGCTGTGGATTATGGTTAAAAATTAAAAACCTGTATAAGAATAACACGTGTTTTAACTTCAGCCTTTTTTTTTTTTCAACGAATTTCTTACGGGTAATAATATTGTTTATAAATACAATTTTCACACAAGCAGATTATAATTAGAATATGATCAATTTTGATCTATTTGAGCATTATCGACAAATACTTTATTCTATCACCACTGGTTGGCAATATTTTTGCAATGCTCAGCTCACTTGAGTAAATTATGCTTTTGATTCTAAAATGTAAGCCTGTATCCTTTGATTTTACATCATAACAGATTAATCTATTTATAAGAAATATGATGTATTTCATATTCGGCATTGTAAAACCTATTGTTATAAAAAGCTTCGATTTAATTTTTCTGCTCATTTTGTAAGTTTATTTTAACTCATATAATTTAAATTTTAACATAAATAATAATAATAATATATTATATGTATATAAAAAAAAAAAGAACTAACGAGTTGAAAGTGTAAATAACATGTAATAATAATAAATAAAAAATATGAAATAATAATAAGAATAATGAATATATGCATATTTAAAAATATTATAAAAACGATTATAATGCAAATAGTTGATAGTAATAAAATAATATAGTTAGCATTGAGTATTATTAGATTTTACATTAAATTGCATACTATGCGAAATATTACACCGAAGGCTACAACATTTAGGGTCTACTCGACCACTACGTAACTGTACAAGTAGAGCAGCGCTTATGTAAAAGTGTACAAAAAATATTTAACGAGAAAAAGAATAGCGTTTACTAGTAAAATGATGAAAAACAAAAATTGTTCAACGACAAGTATCTACAACGTACGTAAGAAAAATGGAAATCGACGAAATATTCAATACTCCATGTTTGAGACGAAAGATCGTGTACCAACTATAAAATATGTCATCATATTATATCATATGTGTATACTAAAGCTATAATAATATAACATACAATAACAAACGATCTAAATTAGATTAATAACAATATTATAATATTACAATACGTGTCTGGAATAATAATAATAATAATAATTTTTAAAATCGCTAACAGCTATTTAAATTACAAACACCATCTGAGTACACAAAAAAAAAAAAAAAATAATTGATCGAAGATGTTTGTTAATAGGAAAAATGGACCCATGATTTTTATCACAAAAATAAATAAGTGTAGTTGAAAAAAGAATTCTATTGAAAATATTTAAATAGACTAGATCTTACGAAGAATATGTATATAATATAATAAAGGTATACATAATAATATTAAATAGCTTATGCGTACTGTGTATATTTTATAGGTACCTAATTAAAATATACGTAATGACATACGTCATATACACAGTACATACTATATATTATTTTAATCATTGGCATGTGCAATGCATACATAATATTATATTAGATTATGTAATTAATTTAATAATGTTTGGAGTGCGAAAATATATTCAGTCAAAATCGACCGCCGCCGATCGGCTTATCAATATTAGAGCGACGGGGAACACATAAATGCAATGTTATCCTGCTGCAGTTATGAGCTTGTCCGTCGTCTTTTATGAATATCACTTTTGGGTGTCGTTGTACCGAAAAGACGGTCAAATATTCATTGGGCTTGTCTTTGCCGCGGCTTTTTGTACTGAATACTTTCGTCGCACTTTCCGTAAGTCTAAAATTATATTATAATAATTATTGTGTTTATGAAGCTCTAAAAACCTATGGTGTTTCCGTGATGCGTATAGTTTTAACAATAATAATATTATGTACAATAAAATATCAATAAATGTCCATGTCTCGAGTTGCTGATGAAAACCCGCGTTCGTAACGCGCTGTGATTAGCAAGACCGTCTCGTACGTACGTCTGCGTTACCGTTGTAATGTTTTTCACTGGTTATTGATTATCATCGTTCTCTGATTGTCTTACAACTTATATTATATTTCCTAAACATTACCTAGCAGGAGAAAAACGAAGAACAAAAGAAAATACTGCGACGCATCCCTACCCTGTATAAAAACACGTCTTATTAACAAGGGGAAAAAAACCGGTGGTGTTACATCGTAATATCATCGGAACAAGTACAGCTTAATCGCGTATAAGCTGACGCTCGCGGACGTTGGGTACGCGAGATATTATAATCGGATAAAAAAATTGAAAAGATCGAAACGTATACCGCGATAATATTTTTACATGCACGTGTCGTACGAACGGAATATCGTTTCTACATATAATTTTAAACGTGGGTGTGACGTGTTGACGACGCGATTGTCCGTCCCTGGGCACTAAGTTCTCCTGGGCTCCAGCTTCTGCGACATGCTCATCAGCGTCCGCTCGTTGTTTATGCACCTCAAACAACTCACGTACGACTTGACGTCTGCTTCGTTTTTCGACACCGGTGGGTCCAATACTGAAACATGATTGAACAACGTGGAAAACCGAATGATAACGTTTTTGTGGGGCGCAAATATTTATAATATCGACGTTGAGTCAAGGTAGTGCTACACGTTGTGGCCAACGTTGATAGATTTGGTGTCAGGTTGGATGCACACTTCCCTTCAGTCTATGTGCGAATTTATACCCACTTGAATAATTCAAAAAAAGTAGCGAAAAAAAAGAATAAAAAAAGAAAACGGATGACGTGAATGCGACCGCATCCACTGTAATTTTACTCTTATGGTTAACGTGAAAAACGTTTCTATGTAAGATTGGAAATGGTTTAATAAAGGTAACATTGAATTGTAAATATTGGCGTTTGATTAAAATCGAAATTTTTCAAGTTCCTATAACTAATGAAACTTTCATTATACAATTTATTGACATTAATTACAAGATGCTATAAAAGAGAAACGAAAAAATACTTATCAGTTACTGAATAGAAATAAAAAAAGTAAGGACTAGTAAATACTAAAAAAAAAAACTTCACACGATCACGACTAAAATTGGATAAAGGACTATTCGTCTCACATCCTATAACCAAATTTTGGTTGGAACTCGACTTTCAGCGGGAATCGTTCCGTCGCTCGACGTACGGATTATCAACGTTTTAAAGTATTGGACGCAGCATCATGTAGCACCCACACAAGGCATGTCGCGCGTCGCGGTAACGTCGTCCTCTCGGACCAACTCCGGTAGGTGGATAAGATTTCCCTACTAAGAACGAAAACCCGCCCTCCGTGTGTCGTGCGATGAAGGAATACCTCGTTCGGACCCGGCCCGTTGTCGTTCCCCCGTTACCGCGAACGACATCACCACAGCCCCCCCGGCGGCGTGCGCCGAAACACGTGCGACGGTCTCACCTAAGTGTCTGGCCCGGCAGTATCTGAGCGTTCTCATGGTCTGCGCCAGCATGTGCATTTTTTCGAAGTTCACCAATCCGTCCACGTGCGTTTTATTTCCGTCGTGAGTGAATTTCATGTCTGCGAAAAAACCAATTTGAGATTTTCAACACATTTTTTTTTTCTATTCGAAAAATTATAACGCACCACAGCAAGCGTTCACGATGCGTTTACGGCCGTGTGTGCGTTACACACTCGGGCGCTGTGGTACGAAAGGAAAACGAGCGCGTGAAACCATAACGGTGAATCATATGCATATTACGCCTGTTCTGACTCATGCAAGTTCAAAACGCAGTTTAGACGTAGGGGATATCAACGTTTGTGAATTTCACGTAGTGGTGGGGTTATAAGGGGGGGGAGGGGGAAACTTCACTCGTCCTTTGCATGCGAAGTTCAAAACAAAAGAAACGTTTTTATTAATTTTTATTATATTTTCAACGGTTCCCAAACGATTCGTTAGTGAAAAATTAATGGAAACCGATAACTGTTGAATGTTTCAACGTTTCGCCGGCAGTTATTTGTTTCGATAAAATTCCGCGATTCGGTCGCTGGACGTTCGTGTATTGGAATGCAATCGATTACGTTGTTGTTATAATATTTATAAAGTGAATAAATTGTATCGCTATAACGTTAACCGATTGAAAGCGAAACGGCGCAAAGCTTAGATCAAACGCTGACGCTGGAATATGCTCTGTTGCGCCCCCATTCGTTTGCAACGCAGTACAACTACATACACCCTCGGGGACGATCGCGATCAGGCGGAAAGTCGTTCTACATTGCCTCGTATATTCACCCGTGCTATGCACTACTATATGTTATGCTTTACGGCGAATTATGCAATTGAAATTAATCACCTTTAATTAGCAATGGCATGAACGGTATCATGGGCGAAGGCAATTTGCCCACCGTTATCCGGTAAGCCCTATGATTCCGACTTGGGTCGATGAGCGCTTCGTATTCGGTGAATTGTTTCCGGGATTTCGACGGCAGCTTGTCCCAAGTAGTCGACAGCCGGCTAACGGCCACGTCGCTCAACCCCATTAGGATGGCGAAGAAAGCGTTGAAATTGTAATACTCCTTGCAGCTAAAGTCGAAAAAATTTAAATAAATTAAATCATTATTTCGCATTATTATCCATTGTTGGTTTGAACAATTTCGATTAAAAATTTTCAACGAGAAATGCATGGTATAAAAAAAAAAATTGAAAATATTTTACGAAAATACTGAATATGTTCTAAAAAAAAATATTTTAACTTAATTATATAGGTACGAGAATACGTATTAAAATGTTATAGAGGAAATGCACATTTTCAACGCGGAAACATCTTTAATTCCTTTCAGGTTAAGAAGAAAAATATTGATAATGGACCGAAAGTTTAACTATACTCAAGAATTTCGCCGACATTTACGGTTCACGGGCCATTAAATAATAATGATGAGTTATTCTGAGGAAAGTCTAAATCCTATTGAGCAATGTCCTTATGCATTATTATTTTCTATAATTATTCAAATATGTTGCTATTCAAGGGTTGTTAACAACAATACGGTTGTTGAACACGTGTAATGGTATTTCAAGTATAAATACCGCATGCGATGTGAATGTTATACACATCGAACAGTATAATATAAATAATATTATAACAATATGAATACTTTCAGTGCCCGATCTAGGTAATTGACGCCCGGGGATAGTAGAAATGCGCAGCGCTTTTCCATGGGTGGAAAAATATGTGTATGTCATGTTTTTTTTCATTTTTCATAAACTTATGAGCGCTCTTACAATAACAGCGTCTGGGGCGAGCATACTCACTTGCACCTTTTATCCACAGATCTGGCACTGAATATTTTACACACGGATGACTGAAGGTCTGAATGGAACTGATATTTTAACAACCGATGTAAGAGACTACGTTTATTATAGGTTATAATTGGGGAAAAAAAATGATTTTCCGTGTCCGTTACGAGTCGAAATTAAAAACAAAATAAAAATAAGGTATTGACTATTATCTTTAACGAATAGTTATTAATTTATTTTATTGGTTATTTCTTAGCAGAAAAAACCTAATTTGAATTCGAATAGAATTTATTTATCCGGCTTGTCCTGCACAAAAGATTGGTTTTTAAATGCAAACACCATCCGTGTAGCACTTGGACTCAAAAAATACTCGCGTCTGACCGTTTGGACGCCTAAACGCGACTCCTTTCATTTGTATTACGTCATTGGACGTAGAAAAATCATGGTACCGATCGCATAACAATTAATTTCATCCCATTTAATTATTCATTGATCACTCACTTAAGTAAGTTTTTCGTGAGAAAGCGAGATGAATTACTTCCGAGTGAAACTCCAATCGTCTGATCGTTTCCGTGGAATTATGCAGATGAATATTTTGTAATAGTTCGTCATCGAGTTTTAATGATAAACAAATAAATAATAAAGTGAAAGAACAACTATCTAGGTCAATAGACCCTATCTAATCTCGCTCATAACACGGTGAACGTCGTTTAACAGAAAACCAACGATAATTATTAATTGTAATTATACATAACCATCGTCGAGGATGATAGTTTATATAGTTTTATATATTATCCGTTTATACTGCGTTTCGTAATCTCGGAGTTTTATGAAAATAATAATACGATTTTTTACGTACTATAATCGTTTGAGCATTTTCGTTTAAAACGGTTTTTCTATATTTGGCTGGTAGATTGCGCTGATCTACTCGTTTATGGTAAATTTTCATTAATTTTCAAAAGGTAAAAGATTTTATTTATTATACTAACTACCTACGTGTTTTCAATGTTTTTGGAAAATCAATTTTTAGTTGTTATCGATATTACGTCCGACATTATCCAAATATATAGCGAATTCATACAGTACACTCGTATGATAAACTACACGAGTTGCTGTAGACTTAAAAACATCATGTCTAACACTATATACTTACTATGTGGCCAATTTAATCATTTTCTTCAGTATATTGGTTCGTTTAGATATATTTTGTGACATGCATATCTCGGTAATAACCCAATATTGGATTTCGTTGAATCGTCTGAGAAATATGTCTAAATTAGCCGTGATTTGTTGGAATCGATGTCTGCCGAACGTCAGGTATATCAATTCGTACTAGATTTAATCAAAATAAAATTTAAGTTATTTCACCGTCTAGACGAATGAAAAGTTAACTTGATCCTAGAGAATTATATTACAGCTGAACCTCGATAAAGCAACATGTTCTTGGCAATTTGAAGAATAAATATCTCCCCGTGGACTCGTTGCAATCGTAAAAATCGTGTTCGATTATTTCGATTAACATTTACTTTCCTTAGACTATTCTTTGGCTATCGAGATTCTAGTGTACTATTACTAATATTATCGACCTTATAAAGCATACCTCGTGGACGTTCCAGAACAATTCCCAATCGAAAAGCGTCATGTGGTACGCCAGTTCTTTGGTACTTAACGAATCGAAATCTCCAGATATCTCCGCTCCTTCTGATTTTTCTTGTTCCGGCACGCACGTCTAAAATTTGTGTACATGTTTCGCGTTTTAGTGCAATAACATAATATTTTCTTTCCGACAGTGATTTATGACCAACAAAAGTGAACAAGATTTATAGAATTTTCTGTATATCTATTTACTACTCGATAAAGTTCAAACGGATGTCATAAACATTTTCGTTTGAGTAAGCGACTTATAGCATACCACGAAAATGTCATGGATTTCATATTATTTATTATAAAAATTGTTTCCTTTTAGCCCCTTTCGTGTTTCTGTTTTTTTTCTCCCTATAGATTCGACTTCAATAGTTTAAGTGAAATGGATTAGTAATGATTTGGGATTGCAATACTACGCGTTTGAATTACCAGTGCGTCCATGTGGTCTTTTGGTGTTAAAAATATACAGCTGTTGAGCGCCACGGTGGTGGGTATCGAATGCTCGCTGTCTCTGAACGGTACCCTTTCTCCGTTGGATTTCACTTCCACTATCCTCAAATCCTGTACGGGATGACGGAGGCTGCACTTTTCGTAAGCTCCTACCTTGATTGTTTCCGCTGTGGCGTTCACGGGCAACCGTAACGTGCAGAACGTATGATCGGCGCAGTAAACCCGGAATATAACTGAAACAAACCCACGGTTATTAGTAATAGTGCTCGGATACCATAACATTAAAAAGTATGCGTTATTTTACGACGGGAAAAATCTTAAAATAAGCTCTACAATATTACTCTTAATACATGAACATTTGAAAAAATATAGTTCTGTATATGAAAAAAATTGTTCTTCAGTTAGCAATTGAAAAGTTTATTCTTAATGCATTTATATGAAATGAAAATTCTGAAAATATGCAAAAATACGTCAAATAAAGTTTTAAGTTAGAAGTACTTTTTACGTAAAACAAATGTAATTTTCATCAGTATTCTACAATAATAAACCAATGTTAAAAATATGAGTTGTGGTCTTAGCCAAATCGAAAAATAAAACTCCATTTTAATCATTTCAAGTGTACAGGAATCTCGATCGAATCCGTTACTTGTTGAAAACAGCGTCCTCGCATTATTATTATAATAGTCATGTCGACGCGAATCGGTCACGTCAAATTTAAAGTAATTACTGTATATAATAATATATAATCGCTTAACGGTTTCAGTCGGGTTTCACTTCTGTAGTACACTACGTGGTGAGCTAATGTTTATTATAGCATATTGTCTGTATTATGACGTTGTGCTCACTGTCATCGCTCGGTCGAATAATTGGTCTACTGTTTTTTGACGGGTTGCTGACTGCGGTGAACAGGCAAATCGGTTGGCCACCCGGCGGTAACTTCCATTTTAAGCCTGAAGTTTCTAATCTCTCGTCCTGGTACCTTCTGAGCCGAGACATGATGTGGTGCATAAGACTAGCCTCCTCTTGCAATGCTTGACTCTTGCCACCCAGCAGTTGACAATCGGCTTCCACGTCAGTGGCCAATTCCTACAAGAAAAACGCAGACCAATTCGTATAAAACGTCTTGTCGTCATATTGTTATTTATAAACGTTGTTCGAACACGCGTACGACGGAAAATTCTAAACACCTCAAGAAACGACATGGAGACGACGTCATCGAATACCGGATGCCGTATAGTCACCACCCATCGGTAGACGAATTGCACCACTTTTCTTTTGCAGTTGATGGTGTACTCTCGGTCCTGCGCCGGGTTTTCCATATGATAAGTAAATACACGAGTTAAGGAAACGCGTTCAAACATATATTACTGTAATGCATTACATTTTTGACATAATTGACATTTGATACAATATATACAAGGTGTACAAGACAATTCGGTTGTACTGCACGTAATGATTTTTACTAATCTAACCGGTTTGATTTTCGCTAAAAAAGGATATTATTTATTGAGTTCTGACACTAATGTCCTGGTGGGCATGAACACTATATGCGTTAACAAGAAGTCATCTAAGCACGGGTCGTTTCTAGAACTGGCGACATTAGTGCTACTTAGCCTGTGTTCCAATAGATGTTCTAGAATTTTTTGCGGGGTTCCAGCGATAATCATGTATCTAAAAATCAGTTAACAATTATTAAACATTAAGAAAAATAAAATCCAAATCGATGACGTGTTTTCATGAGGCCAGTGTCTCAAATGATAATATTTTACTGATGATGCTTGTTCAGTTAAGTTTATAAGTATCTATTTTCGTATTAATAAAAAACATTCTTAATTTTTAGGTATGAGAAAAAACCCCGGTATAATAAATGAAACGATTGAAATGACTTACTTGTGTAATCTAGGAGACTTTTCTAGTATCAATACGTCACTGCCGAGTTCTTTCAGCCTGACCGTATTTGCTTCGATATCCCTGACGATTTTATTATAACTGTCTTTGTCTACTCGTAACAAATGAGTGTTGTCTTCTTTGACGGTGATGGTCGCCGATCTATTTTTTTTTATCGAATGACAACAACAATAACAAAAACAATAAAAACGATGGTTAGTTCGAGTTCACAAAAAAAAATAAATATATTTAGCACAAGGGTAGGTTTAGCACCTAGGCACGTTGTGTATCAACGCCAAACCACCGAAGTCTTCGCCGTCGTACAGCGATTCCACAATTCCTTTGGAATATGTTTCTACGTTGACTGCACCTTGCATAATCACGTACCACGCTTTTCCTTCGTCCCCTTGCCGGAACACTATACAATGATATTATATTAAATGAAAACGGCAAGAAAAAACAATATCGATAAGGCACGCCGAGATGATGGCGTAGTTAAGAACCACTGTTGGCAGGGAATTCCGTCAAACACTGCGGATAATCGCATTGCCGTGTACACTTTTCGTGTTTACGGTTCACGTGAATAATCGAAGGAGAAATCATGACCGCGCTATATTTCCAGTTGAATAATTAATCATTCGGAAGTATACAATAACATCCACCGTACACGGTAAAACGCTTCTCCGCAGCGTTCAGTCGAACTATGCGTCTACCGTCTACCTGTCTATCAGTCCCGGGCCTAAAATATGGCATTTTATTGTACTACAATATCACACTAAACTGTAATTGTATGTTTGAATCCTGTGATGTAATAATCTACAGCCAAAGATATTGGCTTTTACATTTTTTGAAAATCGGTTTAAATGTATTGTATGATTGATGTAAAATTTTCTGTTTGGTATAAACTAGCGGTTCCCAATCGTTTCTCGAGGGCATCGTTCGTTTTACCATAGAAAATGTAATAACATAATAATTATTGGTCATTGTTTAAAATAACGAGAGTATTTATATTTACAAGACTTCGTCAACTCAAATATAATTCACCGATACGTATACAAACAACATTAGAATCTCAATAGAAAAATATAATTTTATAATTTTTTACAATTCTCTTTCCAGTTATTTCCCGGCTTGATATATTACATATAAATATATTAAACGTATACCTCTCCTTTTGAGTTCCCTCTTATATAAATACATATCAAGTGTTATGTGCTTTGTAGAACATAGGCAAATAAAACTTAATGCTAAATATTTCTCGAAGCTCCGTGAGAAAATATTGCTGAGAAAAAAGGCTCCGTGTCTGAAAAAGTTTGGGAATCACAAGTATAAATGAATTTTACGATATTCAAATATTTTTATGACTTCAACGGATAAGAATTTATTACAAACTTTCAAATTTCATAGTACCTACACACTATAATTTTTCTACTACTCAATGTGTGTCGTAGAATATGCATTTTTAGGACCTGTGAACATCTACGGATACCCCTTGGTGGGCGCACGAACTTATGCGAGTGACTTACGCGTATGGCCGGCTTTTGAATGGGCTTCGAACACTACAACGGATGCGAGTTCCCGTTTCACTGAATTCGGTAGGTGAGCCAGAGCCCTTTGCTCGCACAGCTCCTCGAATATCAGCTCCAAGTCCTCAGGCGTCCTTTCAGAGCTCCTGGATGAGAAACAAAAAGAAATGGAGTTTTTGGTAAAAGTTCGATGCGTGTAAGTGTCTGTCAAGAGTTCCATCATGAGTGGATTTAGCGGTGAGGGGGATAAAATTAAACTTTTTTTTAACCTTCCGATGATAATTTTTTTTGCAAATTAGTATAGTTCATGGTTTTTATTGAAAAAAAAAGAAATAAAAAAGAAGGTGTGATACGATAATTTATTATTATTAAATGTTGTTTAGATCATGTTAAAAGTTTTTGGTTCAATTAAATGTATTTCAGTTATTATTGTACTCACGGTGATCGTAGGATCATACGCAAATGGGCGTCAGGGCCCCTCTGGATTAATTCTTGCAACGCTTCGTCTAGGTGCTCTTCGGCTTCGGCCACGTCTTGTATGGTCGGAGTGTTCAGAGCGCCCTCTCTGTCTTGCCAAAAGTTGTAGAACAAACACTTGTCTTTGAAAGGATGCTCGCCGGTAGCTGTACAACGGACAACGGTCAGTTATAGTTTTTATGCATAGTTATATAAAACGACGGTGTCGATAGAAATTGTATAAAACAACACGTGACGTGCGTGTAACGTACGACCGAACATGATATTACATATGATTCGCGGGAACGTTCGACACTAATTCTAGAGTTCGACGAAGCTTCGTTGATTTAAGAATGAAAAAATAATAATTTAACTAAGGAATAAAAAAAGATCGAATTGGTCCACTATTATTATGTAACATCGCGATCGTACCGAATAATGTAGTACTTATAACGTAATACGATCGGTTATGAATTCAGAACGCATAACAATATTAGCCAAGGCTGGGAAAGTTAATGGTATTTTTTAACTCGACGAAAATAAGTAATAACAATTCTGTTTTTTCAGATCGAGTGAACGATTTTAATCAATTCCGATTCCGAATTGATAAAAAAAAAAAAAAAAAATGAAATAATTCCTTCGTTCCACGAATTTGAAGTCGAACGATTTAATATGATTTTTAATATTAATTTACAAGTGTTATCCGTTTACCGATATTTGCATTATTTCGAACAAAATATTTTTCCGGTCCTTACAATTACAAAACTATAAAAAACGAACACTGGAAAGTAAACATAAGTAAAATCACGTTAGTTTTAAAGTTGACCCTTGTACAGAACAAGCTCGAAAAGCTGTTGTTGACGGTCTCAACGGTCTCGGCAGCAACATCGTTACCAAACACGTACAACGCACGCGTACGCATTGCTCACCGTGCGATATGACTCCCTCCTCGAGCAGCGCCTGCCACATGCCGACCACATCGTGCCGGCTGAACGAGTCGTGGTCCGTGGACACCAGATTCATCAGCCAGTCGATCAACTCACTGCCGGACGCGCATCTCCGGACCACGGACCTGCCGCCGCCGGTCTTCCGGTCCCTGAGCACCGTGTTCTGGTCGCTGAGCAACAACGTGCGCAGCACCCAACCGGCCCTGGCCATCGGCATACTGGGATTCTGCGAAGAAGTGGCGATTTATTATTCGATAATGTAATACGGTGTTTTTTCGTTTTTGCTACCGTTCCGCAACGCGCGCGCCGAGCGTTCGGGGCCCACCTCTCTCTCGGGCAACGTAACGCAGAGCGCGCGCGTGCGGCATGGAGATTAGGTGTTTTTCACTCTTTTTCTCTCTCTGTCTCTTCGTAAAATCCGTGTTTACCGTGCGATAAGAAAACGTTATCGACTCGGCGAAAGGTATGACAAGTCCTTGACGAATTAAAAACAATGCGCGTGGAATACGGTGCACACGATCGGGGAGTAAAAGAAGACGTCGGGAAGACACGTATGTGTGTGATGCGTGAGAGAGTGCGAAGGAAACGGAATACGAAGTTTATCGTTGTACGATTATCATAATGGCGGTGCGCGTGTTTGCGTTCGTCGCCGACACGGCGCTTGAACCAGTCGAGAAAACAATACGTAATCCGGTTGACATTGCGCAACAGGAGGAGTTGCTCGTATAACACACCCGATATCATCATCGTCGTTATTCAAACGCGATAAAAACGTAAAACGTAGTACGCGCACGAAACGGTCTTTCCCTTCTCCGCGCGCTTTATTTTTCCCGCGTTTACCATCCGTTACGCGTACAAGGCACGCCGTTTCGCGGAAAACTGTGTTCCGTCACCGCTCGCGCGCCTCGTCTGACAAACACGTAATCCATGTAGTCGTGCCAACGCAAATATCTCGACGCCGGTGTTGAGCAGTGGCGCGCAACAAGGGGGAGGGGGTGCAAAAAGGTCTTTAGCTCACCCTTGTTTTTTCACATCCAACTATTATTATTTTAGTGAAATACCATGAATTTTATGTTTTTAAATTATGGACAATTTCCTGAAAAAATTTATAAATATTTAGTCGTAAGTCGTATAATATAATTCATCATAATTTATTCTATAATCGAATATTTCGATATTCCTACAATTTCCGGATTCGTGGCCCGGATAAATGGCAATCATTTACATATTATAACCGGTATTGAGGCAGGTTTTAGAAAGCCATATTTTAGAATGTTGGGTTTTGGAATATCAAGTTTAAGAAACATTGTGTTTTAGAAAATAAAACTTTTAACATTTAAATTTTTAGAAATATTTTTATTTTTTATGCTGTTTACTTGCACATATAATATTTTCTAATAATTCTTTTATAATAAAAAATAAATATAATAATTGTTAATACTTAAGATTATTAGCAATAGCTCTCATAAATTCATCTAAATTGGAATTAGAATCATCAACTATTCGTTTACATATTTACAATAAGTTATGATTTTGGGTTTCATTGTATTTTATTTTCTTGAATACTTTAATTGAAATCAACGATTCGATTGTTGTTTCAGTTTCATATTGTTCTTTTTGAATTTTGGAGATAAATGAATATATACTAGGATGAGTTGATAATAAAACATGTATTTTGTTGTGCCAACCTTCCGCTGAATTGGATGTTCTTGATATTTCGTTCACAGTTCGACTATGTACTGACCACATATCAATCGGAAAACATGATTCGTAATGCATTGCTTCTTTTTTTCTAAACCTCATTCTAATTTTTCCAACCACGTAGTTTTCTTCAGAATATATAACTAGATCAATTTCATCGTCATCAAATTCAGATTTTAAAATACCCCACGCTTCCTTCACTTTCTCCGGCGGCAAAAATGCTAAACTTGCAATTTTACAGCACGAAAATTGAACTAGAATAAATTTTGGTACTTTGTAACCAAACCCAATGCTTGGATCTTACGATATATCGACTGTTGTAAATGGAAAAAACATGCCAAGTGGATTAAAACGGATATACAGTATTGATTGCATTAATCGCTGCCTGTTAAAAATCGGTTATTATTTCCAAATTATTATTTTCTTAAAAAAAAAAATTCCATTTTCTTCAGCAAATTAATTTAAATTAGAAAATAACATATTATATAATTCTTCATCTTTGCAGGTCATTAATGCAAATAATAATGGAAATACCATTTCGTTGAACTGTGCACAACATAAAATTGTTTAAAACGATTAGGGCATGATTTAAAAGTTCCGTCTAAAATCCAAAATTGTGAATTCTTTAAATAAAAGCAATTTTCAACTGTTGTAAAAATCATGATATAATCATAATTTCGTTTAACAGTCTTATTTAAAAATTTCTTTCCACTCAATGTATCAACAGATAAATCATTAATATCAAGAATGTGGTTTGGTTCTTTGATATTTATTTTCTTTGCCTTTTTACAATTAATTTAGCTGAGCATTTTGAAATTTGAGAAACTATAATATTTTCCACTTGTAAAATTGAATTTTGATAAATAGAACTTGGTATATCATTAGTCTCAGCTGCCTTTCTTTTTATGATATTTTTAATTTTTTACATTCAATTATCTGCGGAATTAGGCCATGACAGTGATTGGAAATACTAAATGACTTACCTTTATCATCGGATATGTGTGTATTGGCAACCATAATATGATAGTTTGAAATTTAGCTGCATAGTCGCGACATCTCCAATAATAAACTATTTTTTCATCAATTTTACAATTATAAATTTGATTGAAAATGTATAAAAACTCATTTACATCTAATATATCATTTTTTGATTAGTCGATTTCATCAATGTCAATGTAATATTGGAAATTGAATTTTGTATTTCGGCAAAAAATTTATAATAATTTTATGTTTCACTAAGTAAGTATTTAGTACAGCACTGGACTAAGATTTCAGCATAATATCAATGATCGATAATAGTAAATGCATTCTTTGTTGAGGTTTATTTTCAGCCAACTATTAAGTTTAATGACATTTTTCACATTTATTTTGTACATATTTTACCAATATTATCTTCTAAACGAGTAACTTTTCTGTTTTGATTACATTACAAGCAATGTTATAAAAGAAACTGTGAAACTACGTATATTATAATTAACGTATTGCTTAATTCGTTCATTATATAATGGCCATAAGTTAGACAAACAAACTGCATCTTGAAAGAATTAATGTTAAATAAGAGCAATATAGTATTTTAATGAATTTCAAAGACTACAGGACTTAATTTTTCATCTGATTTTTCCGTTGCAACATTGTATGAATTCCCCTACCCCTGTCAACTCACTGGTGCTAACTTGTTGTTGTCTATACATTGAAAAACTTTCGACCGCGTTCTTCTAGTGGAATTATTTCCGATTAACTATTTTATATGAAATAAATTTGTTTATTTATTAAGCACAATTATTTAATTTAAATTTGATCCGAGATCGTAAGGTACGCAGCTTATTCACACACTGCCGATTCGGTTAGTTGATTAAACCTCGTGAATCTCGCGTTTAATTAATATTCTCAATTCTATATAATACGTTGCTGATCGCAGACTTATCTTAACCATTTGCATCACAAAAGGAGGCTGATTAAAATATTTATCTCACACGCACACCACACTTAATCTTTAACACGTCATTTTCCTTTTATCACGCGAATATATAACTAGCCCCGAGTGCTTGATAAATATTATCTAATAGGTATTATTTTAATAATAAACAACAGTTTATGATTTATTCGGGTCTGTACTATAGATATAATATTACATTTTGTCTATCAAGTTTGACGTTTACATAGCATCTATTATTGTTCAAAAAATGTTTGATCTTAAAAAAAAAAAAAAAAATTATATATTAATGCATTTGTAATAATATTCAAACTTGGCTACTACTATAATAAGTATATTGATTTTTTTTTTATATGTACAAACATACCCTTATTGCCGATGTTATCATAGCTGGGATAATGGATGGGTGTGTCCGACACTATTCAAACAAACAAATCTAATATAATACAGGCGTACATCATTGAAAACGTTGACACGTTAAATGGACGTTATTATATTATATGCAATTTATAAAAATGTTTATTTTTTATTTGCTTATCATTTCTAAGATACTAATCAAATTTCTTTTTTTTTGTTAGTTTTAGTTTACTTCTGATTAGAACGCTATTGCTTTAATACCAACGAAGCTAAACGATCGACGAGATTTAATATAGCTGTTTATAGATCACTGCACATCGAATGCATTTTGTAGAACTGTTAAATTTATAGTACGGAATTGTAATATTAATATCATATAGATTTGATATCGTGCTATTCTTCTAGTATTCTAAATATAATTCCAACGAAAAACCAAACGAATTCTTTGGAGGATAATCAATACATCAATAAGTATCTTTAAACTAATTATTATCATAATAAGTATAAATTTTAATTTAGAGTTATTGAAAGTCTATTAGATTTAATACATCGATAGAGTTTTAAAAAAATTGAAACTATTACAATAAGTTCATTATTAAAAAAAATGACGAGACTTCTGTCGGACAAAACAACATGGTTGAGGGTGGATGGGTGAATGTTATTGTTGTATTTGTGTTTTAAACTTTAAACTGATATAATATAACTCTCAAACAAACGATTCTAAGTGAAAGAAGCAAGGCGAGTCTCTTTATATTTCTAAAGATGGTTGATAGTAGAAGAGTCAAATTTTTTAATAAGGTCAGTTGAACTTTTAATGTTATAACTTTCTAGGAAAATAAGAAAGGCAACTACAGTTTGAAGCAATCTAAAATTGTTCCTTTAATCAACACAAATCTCGTTAAAATAATTAAAAACTATAAAATGTTTTTAAATAAATTACTTATTTCGTTTAATGGAAATTCGTTGTAATTATTATTTTTATTATTATTTTATTTTTGGTTAAAATTTAGTATTAAGACCTAAGAATAAAGAAAGAATATTTTTATTACAAATATGTAATGAATTTTCGTGATTCATTCCGTTTTGCGAACTTTTTATACTTAAATACCAGTATTTTTTTATTTTTTATTTATATAATAATCTAAGAAAATATGTAAATTTAATTTTTTTATAAATAACTCAAACATTTTTTTTTAATTTATTCTCTCTAAAGAAAACGGTGATATAAGCAAATA